AAAAAAAAAAAAAAAAAAAAAAAAAAAAAAAAAAAAAAAAAAAAAAAAAAAAAAACAAGAACAAAAATCATTATAAGGTGAAGGGTTTGGGAGATTGAAATGCTACTTTGAAGCTTTAAAAAGGAGAATAATGGTGTGGAGGTGGAGGGGAGGTGATTGAGAGATCCGCATTGCAGCAAAAAGTGAAAAAAGAAACACAAAAATTCAGGGAAAAAGAGATGAAAAAGAAGAACAGGTGGATGTCCACTTCAACTAGGAGTGCCGTTTTGGACATCATAACTCAACAACTACAATATTAGTATTCCGCTTCAGAAAATAAATGATATTTAGATTACATAAATTTTAATACTTTGGTAGATTCTGAATGTATATTAATCTAAAAACTATTTGTTTAGTAGAAATTATTGTTCTTATTGTAATGGGTCATGAAATTAAATTATGAATATGAGACACTGATTTGACAAATAGTAGAATGTTTGTTTGGGAGAACATGCTGATTTGAGGGGAGAACATGCTGATTTGAGGGGAGAACCCACATGACAAAGTTTTCATCGCTGTTCAGAAAACAGCCAATTTCTCACTCGACCATTCCCATTTTGGATCATTCATGTTTGCTTTTAACAAACGACTGAGCGATGGCACAGCAGCCTCCAACACAGTGCTGCAAGAAGCTGGATCAAAAGGGTCGTGAGCAAGAGGGAAGCTCGTAAAAGTTCAAAATCATTCTGTGGTGGGAACTGGAGGCGGTGCGGCGCTCTTTTCTACTGGAGGGTTATCCACTCACGTGGGGTTTCGGTCTATTGTTGAAAGGTTTGGTTCCACTTTGGTTGGCTTTCCCAAATTTCGCTTTTCTTCCTTTCTTCTCATTATCACCCAACAACTCTAATTCCTAGTTCAAACTCTGATTACCTCAATACTCAACAAAACCTAGATCGTCTCTCTCTCTCTTTTTCTTCCTCTGTGCTTCTCCTCCAGCTACTAGGCCATGCTGCTGCTATTTTGACGGGTCATTGAGAATTTCTCGTTTCAGCTTCTTTCTTTTGCTTATGGGCATGGAACTGAGGAAGGAAAAGCTTGTTAGGTGATTTTTTCTTCTTCATTTGTTTCTAAGAATGTAGCATGTTTGAAGCGTTGTAATTCGTGTGCTGAATCTGTTAGTCCAATGGAAATCTTAAAAGTTTTGGGGCCTGTTCTGTTTTCTTGTCGAGAAAATGTGGTGGGATCTTTAGTTTTTATTAGATGGAAACGGAAGAAGACTAGAACTCTGCAAAATCGTCTGGCCTGTAAGTCTAGTTCATTATTTGCTTGAGGAGTTGTGAACGTAGGCTACTTTAACTTGCTTTTGTCGGGAAGAAACCAAAAGTTGTCTGTCATACATGATCACGCAAATGTTCTATTTTGTTTATTTATGTGGAGTAGCTTTAAAACTGTGTTTTCTTGTGCTTGGATCCATATAATCACTCTGTTCGTATGCAATTAGGATCTCCTTGTCTCTCTTTCGTGTTTTTATCACCACAGAAAATTAGATTGTACTTGTTTGAAACAGAATGAATTTACAGTTTTTATTCGTATCATGACTCATCTAAACCTAAGTATGAAAAGGTCTGGGAAGTGAGTATTGTTTGGCATTTTGGTTTGTTCAATGCTTACGAAGAACCGTAGCAAAAGGAACTTTATGTATATGAGTAAGGTGTTTATAGACTATTGTTTAACCATTATGGTTACCATTTTTATTCCTGAAATCAATAGGTTTTATTCTGATCACAAAAAATATAAGAAATCTGCCATTGGGAACAACAATGAAGCAGGGCAACTTGAGAAGTCATCATCGAAATACTACATTCCGTCGTCGACATTCTTAATACCTGACAACGGATTAGGGGCAAGCAAAAGTAAATCTGCTGAAACCTTTAGAACCGAGAAGTCCAAAGTGTTTCCGGAGGACCATGAACCATGGAGCAGAAGAATACTAGACCCTGGCAGAAAAATTGTTCTGAAATGGAACCGGGTGTTCATTTGCTCATGTTTATTGGCACTCTTTGTTGACCCGCTGTACCTTTACTTGCCATCTTTGGCTGGGAATAGGAAATCCTCATGTGTGAGGACAGACTGGAAATTGCGAATTGTTGTGACCTGTTTCCGGACTGTTGCAGATTTTTTCTATCTTCTGCACATGATTATCAAGTTCAGAACAGCTTATGTTGCTCCTAGCTCTCGAGTTTTTGGGAGAGGTGAGCTTGTGATGGATTCGAAGATGATAGCAAAGAGGTATCTTAGATCTGACTTTTTTGTCGATCTAATTGCCACGTTGCCTCTCCCTCAGGTACTTCATTGAGACTTCCATCTCTCAAACTTTGACTTTATATTTGGTGTACTTTGTCTTTAATCTCCATAGTTCATATGTCATTTTCCATTTCTTGCTTGGGGGAAATGCAAGGACAGAACGAACTTTGTAAAACTATATCATACCCTTATTTTGGTAAAAGTAGTGCTCTTACTGAGATGAGCAAAAATACTTGTAACGACCCAAACCCATCGTTAGCAAATATTGTTCTCTTTGGGCTTTCCCTTTCGGGCTTCCCCTCACGGCTTTAAAATGCATCTGCTAGGGGAAGGTTTCCACACCCTTATAAATGGTGTTTTGTTCTCCTCCCCAACCAATGTGGGACATCACAATACCTCATAATTTTAGCAATTATCACTTCTTTAATGTTGTAAGTTGAGGAATGAAATTATTTACTATGGTACTCGGGGCATTGCTGGTTAGTAAGATTAACTATTATTATCCACCATCCATATGCTTTATATGGTATACAATGATGATTTTCTTAGTCAAGGCATGATGTGAGAATTTTCCATTCGTGCTAACGCTAACCTACTTGTGTCCAGGCAGTAACAAAATGCTAGCACATCTTTCTCAACCTGCTTCTTAACAAGGAGAGTTTCGTTTGGTCTAATAGTCTTCAATTTGGTCCACTGAAGGCAAGATAGTTTTTTGTTACCGAAAGGGTGCGTGAACTTGTAAGAAGGCTGAATCCTTAGCCTATTTTTCAAAGTTAAGGGGAAATTATATGGGATTGTCTCTTTAGATCTAGGAATATGTAATTGCCACACCTTTTTTTCAGGCTTCTCCTTTGTAGTGGTGGTCCGGCAGAATGGATGGTTGGTGGAGAGAATTAAAGTTCATGAGAAAAATTTTCTGCTCTTAGGCTTATTTTCAGAGAGTTGAACTTTGTAGTGTTAGGTGATACTCTTTTCAAGTAGGAACGGAAGAATAAGATATATACTTAACGAGTTGGGAGTTGGTCTTAATGAACGATTTGAGAGAAAAATAGGCAGTATTGTTGTTACGTTCCTATTCTGGTGATACTCATTTCCATGAATTAGTTTGACCATCGTAATTTAATTTTAGATTTTTAACAGAGACTTGTAACTGCTGTCTTCCATGCAGATTGTCATCTGGTTTATCATACCCGCAACAAGAAGTCGTCTAACTGATCATAAAAACAATGCGCTTGCGCTTATTGTTCTGCTTCAATATATTCCAAGATTGTATTTGATTTTCCCTCTAAGTTCAGAGATAATCAAAGCGAATGGAGTTGTTACAAAAACTGCTTGGGCAGGAGCTGCTTATAATCTTCTACTCTATATGTTGGCTAGCCACGTAACTCTCTCATATCTCTCTCTCTTTCTCATGTGACACAAAAATATGTAAATGCCTGTGCTTAGGATTTCAATATCTAATGCTATTGAGAAAACATGACATAATCTTGATTACATTCCTACTTTTTGAGGTAATTCGCCATCAGTAATGTTACCTTATTTTGTGTTTGACAGGTTCTAGGTGCTACATGGTATTTGCTGTCAGTTGATAGATATACATCATGCTGGAAATCATTATGTAGGAAGAAGGAATATAATCCACTAGAATGCAATCCAACTTTTTTTGATTGCGATACACTTAACCTTAATGACCGCAATACATGGGCAAATAGTACCCTTGTTTTCGACAAATGTGGCCCTAGTGGAATTTTCAAGTATGGCATTTTTGGGAATGCAATGTCAAAGAATGTTGTCTCTTCAAGCTTTGTTGAAAAGTATTTCTATTGTTTGTGGTGGGGCTTGCAAAACCTGAGGTATGATTTTCTTTTTGTTGACTTTAATTGCTTGGCAAATGTCCTTAAAGTGTAACAGCTAGAACATTCTATTATAAAGTATAAACAATGTTCTTCATAATGTTATTGGGCGGTCATGTCATGGATCCCCATGGTTAGGAAAGCATTCTTTTGATAGAATGATGTTGGCTTGTTATTTACTTCTCCAACTTTCCTGTAAATGCTCTCGAGCTCTTCCCAAAGGCCTTCACTAAAAAGTTTTTTCGGCATAGTTTGTTTTAGAACCAACCCTAGCATGAAAAAGATCCCTGGTGATACAAGAGCAGACTGAAAGCTAGCCGAGTATCGATGTGTTTTGTAAACAATTTTATTTCTGATCTCAAGGAACTATGAACCATCGTTGGGATGTGGAAAATAGCATGGCATTTACACAAGATGGCAAATGAGTTTGTTCACTGCAGAATGAAGCCAATTTGGCTTCATGTATTGTGAGATCCCATATCGGTTGGAGAGGGGAACGAAATATTCTTTATAAGGATGTGGAAACCTCTCCCCAACGGATAAAGATGACAATATCTGCTAGTGGTAGGTTTGAGCTGTTACAAAATGGTTTCAGAGCCAGACACTGGGCGGTGTGCCAACGAAGACATTGGGGCCCCAAGGGGGAGTGAATTGTGAGATCTCACATCGGTTGGAGAGGGGAATTAAGCATTCCTTATAAGGGTGTGGAAACCTCTCCCTAGCAGATGCGTTTTAAAACCTTGAGGGGAAGCCTAGAAGGGAAAGCCCAAATAGGACAATATTTGCTAGCAGTGGGCTTGAGCTGTTACATGTATTGATCTCGAACATTTTATGGCTATATGCTTTGTTCTGCTAATTGAAAGTTTTTGTTGTAAACTGCTACACATGAAAACCTATGGACTTGATATTATATTGTTTAGGCAACTGTATAGAGCACTCAGCATAGGTTCTGTACTGATTACATGGATGGCAGACTAGTACAACTTGATGTATGATCTCATTCTTTTTTTATAATTATTATAGATGGTTCTTTAATCCATCATTTTTTCCTGGAAAATACTGAAGAACTTCTTGTTTATTTTGTCAGTTCATATGGACAGAATTTGGAAACAACCACTTTCATTGGTGAGACACTGTTCGCTGTGCTTATAGCCATCTTAGGCCTTGTATTATTTGCCCATCTGATTGGGAATATGCAGGTGAGAGACTGAGGGATAAAATTGTGTTCTTTATTCATTGAATTCATAATTTGAGAATTAAGATGCGCTTGTTTCTATTAAACCTAACAACTCTAATAAAGGCTCATGCTTTGGTTTCCTGGATGATCTTTTTGCTTAATGGTCATCATAGACATGTGGTTGGGTTATACAATTTTTTCCACACCCTTATAAATTTTTTCTAAGGCGTTTCCACAAAAATTCTTAGTACAGTGATCTTTATCCCTTTGTCTTGTCGTCTAATTGAATTCATTATCATGTGCTGTTTTAATTTTTCTTTTAATGCAGACGTATCTGCAATCCCTCACTGTGAGACTTGAAGAATGGAGACTAAAACGAAGAGACACTGAAGAGTGGATGAGACATCGTCAACTCCCTGAAGACTTGAAGCGACGTGTTCGACGTTTTGTACAATATAAGTGGGTGGCAACTCGAGGAGTTGATGAAGAAGCCATCTTACAGAGCTTACCGGCTGATCTTCGACGTGATATTCAGTGCCACCTATGTCTAGATCTTGTCCGACGAGTACGATTCTATTACATATATTTTCTTTATTTTTTTATTGGAGCCAAAGACAGAAAAGTTTGAACTTGCATCATATGCTTTCTAGTTCTCATTTATCAAGTTGTCGAGCCACACAATATGAAGGCTTATGGTTCTGCAACTATCATCTAGTATTCCTTAAAACTTCACAAAAAAGAACGAAAAATTCTGCAGCGATTGATTTCTTGTGTAGATGTGGTTATATGCTAAAAGTTCATGAATTGAGTTGTCACCCTATTTTGCAGGTCCCTTTCTTCTCACAGATGGATGATCAGCTACTAGATGCAATATGTGAACGTCTGATATCCTCCTTGAGCACTGAGGGTACCTATATAGTACGAGAGGGTGACCCAGTAACCGAGATGCTGTTCGTTATCCGAGGCAGATTGGAGAGTTCTACTACAAATGGAGGTCGCTCTGGTTTCTTCAACTCCATAACGTTGCGTCCTGGAGACTTTTGTGGGGAGGAACTACTTTCTTGGGCGTTGCACCCAAAATCCACCACCAACTTGCCCTCCTCAACTAGAACAGTCAGAGCGCTCAATGAAGTTGAAGCTTTTGCACTCCGTGCTGAAGATCTTAAATTTGTAGCCAACCAATTTAGACGTCTGCACAGTAAAAAGTTGCAGCACACATTCCGCTTTTACTCTCATCATTGGAGAACATGGGCAGCTTGCTTTATTCAAGCTGCTTGGCGTCGCCATAAGAAAAGGATGATGGCAAAAGATCTCTTAATGAGGGAATCGTTTATATTATCTGAAGAAGTGGCTAGTGAAACTGGCCAAGGAGGAGGGGAACAATTTTGTGTTGTTTCAAATCCTTCTCAGACAAAAATGAATCTGGATGTTACCTTACTGGCTTCAAGGTTTGCTGCAAACGCAAGGAGAGGCGCCCAGAAAATGAAAGATGACATGCCAAAGCTGCAGAAGCCTGATGAACCCGACTTTTCCATTGAGCCAGATAGATAACAGTTTCCAGTAGTGTCAAAGGCTATATTTCTCTATTAGAAGGATGAAGTCCATTTCAGATGTGCATCCCTTTTCTGTCGTCTGGCATTTCAGACCTTACAGGGACCTGTCTATTTCTGTATAGTTTTATCAATTACCAGGAACGCAACATCACAAACTGTGTATTAGTGTCATAACCAGTAAGTTGGTCTCATTACAATATGTTTTAACTCTTAATAGACAGTAACTGAGTTCGTAGGATGGTTAAACGAGCTGCTGCAAGCTGCAAGCTATACTTCACCAGACTGTAGACAGAACCTCAGCCACACTTGTGTTCAGACGGTGCAGACAGCAATCCAACTTGCGACCATGGACAATCCAACTTGCGACTATGGACAACACGCTTTGAATAACACGTTTTGGATGAGGGTTACCACTGGGCTAGATATTTTATGATCAGTGACATATATTAAATAACACATACTTGTCCTTTTTTAGAACTTTCGGACTTCTCCCTTATCCCTAATTTTGATTTCCATTGTAAAAGTAACCGTGTTCAGAGGTTCATGCTGACTTTGATCAGGCCTTGCAAATTTATCTCAATTTTCCAGTTTATCAATGGACGAACAGTAATGGATGTTCAAAAGGTTTTATTTTATGTCAAATCCAATCGTTTTTTGCATTCTGATTGGAGCGATTGATGAAAGCAAAGAGAAGCAGTGTTCCATTGAGTATGATGCAATGGAATACAATTCTTAAGGTCTGGCATCAATGTTGGTTCCATTACATTCTCTCTTTCATGGAGTATACCTATCGATGTCATAGAACTCTATGTTCTTGTACTTCTGAGAGATTATCTCAGCTTGTACTTTTCTGGCAGTGTCTGTAGCACAACCGACAAGAATGAGAACAGAGGTTCCTGCAAATCCTCGAAATGCTGTTAAGTGTGTTGTTTGCTCAATCACCGCAGGACCAGCAGCAAGGATTGCCAAGAAAGCAGAACCAAGAACTGAAATCCGACTTAGAACCTATAAATTAGTAAACAGGAAGCCATAATCAATCAATAGTCATTTTAGGTTGCACAACATATTCAGTTAAGAGCAACTTCATTGGGCCAAATCGTTAAGATTACTGATTCAACATCAAGAACTACGAAACAAGCACGGCACGTTATGTGAGGCAAAATTACCGCTTTCAGAAACGAAGCTGTACTTTTGCCCGGACGGACGAGGGGAATTGAAGCACCCTGGCGCTTCAATTGTTCGCTCACATCATCGGGATCCAACTGTAGGAATGTGTAGTAATAGTTGAAGAAGGCTATCAAAAGGATGTTGGTTGGAAGATAGAATGAGCCTGAGAAAATCCCATGTGTTAGTTTAGGAGTACCAGGAAGTCCTGTCTACCAATTATGAGAAACCCTGTACAATTTAATGTGATTGAACAGCAAAGTAACTGAACCATTTCTTAAAAGAACTCAAACTTTATTACAAACTAAACGCGAATGTAGCATATTGTAATGGCCGCAAGATAAAGAGTTTCATCAATCTCAAAGTACTAAGCCCTCAAGTTGTTTTCAATTGGCAGTAAACCAAAACATCTTACCTCCTGGATTTAAAGCAAATGCAGCGTTCTTTAGGACAGATAAACCCGTGAAGCGAGCTAGAGTACCCGGCAGGGACAATGTAGATGTTGAAAAAATGATCGGCATTACACCAGAACTATTTACCTGTGCATAATGAAATTAGTAAAATAAATATGAAACTTATACAAAATTCTTGTTGGTTACCCCAGATTACAAATTTAGGAATTTAGAAATGAGAGAGCATGGATAAAGATTTGAAATTGTAACAGACCCGCTAGCAGATATTGTATGTTATTGTCCTCTTTGAGTTTTTCCTTTCGGACTTCCTCTCAAGATTTTTAAAACATATTTGCTAAAGAGAAGTTTTCACACCCTCCTCCCCAACTGATATGAGATCTCACAATCCACCCCTCCCCCTTTGGGGCCCAGCATCCTCGCTGACACTCTCGTTCCCATCTCCAATTGATGAGGGACCCCTCAATCCACCTCCTTCGAGGCCTAGAATCCTTGCTGACACACTATCTTGGGTCCACTCCCCTTCGGAGATCAACCTGGCACTTCGTCCGATGTCTAGCTCAGATACCATTGTGATAGCCCAAACCCACCGCTAGCAGATATTATCATCTTTGGGCTTTCCCTTTCAGGCTTCCCCTCAAGATTTTTTAAAATGCTTTTACTAGGGAGAGGTTTCCACACCCTTATAGAGAATGTTTCGTTCTCCTCCCCAACCAATGTGGGATCTCAAAGACCTCCAAGTTGGCAATTAGCTATAGTTACCACATCAAAGTCTGCAGGACTTTAAAGTTTAAGCTTCTTTAAGGTTAAAAGTTAATAACTGACTAATATGATTTTTCGATGACATAAGAACAAAGAAGCAGGAAAACAAACCTTGAAGGGAAGGTAAGCAGATTTCTGAAGCCCTCCACCGCTGCTTGTGTATCTTGAAGCATAGTTGAGCGGGATTTTCCTTTCTGCTTCCTGAAAACATTGGTTAAGATAAATTATAATCACATATAATAAGACTTCTTATGTAATGAGGAAATAAAAGGTAAATATATCAACCATTACTTACCTGAACATATACGATTCCAAGTACCAATAGAAAGAAGGAGATTATAATAGCAACCAATCCAACATAGTTACCATCCTGTAAAGCTTGTGCAGCTGTTCTTCCAAAGGATGCTGGTAGATAGGAGATGATGCTGGTGAATATTAAAAGAGATGTCCCATTACCTAGCTTTAGGTCTGTGATCCGTTCCCCAATGTACGTTGTTATAACTGAGCCAAGTGTTAATAAAGTAACAGAAGAAAGCACCCACTCTGTACTAAAATCATTAACATAGGGGCGAAGGTACAGAACTTGACCAATTGCCTGTGTAGGAAAGGGGAGCTGAATTAAAGATCCTAAAATAAAAGCTCACAAAAGAGCATTGGGAACTATATGATCATTGCCTAAGATCCTTCAGAATACATTTGGCTATTGCTCCAGAATTTTGCTTGCATCTACTACAGTTTGAATAGGTGCCTACTTGGATATAAAAAAATTTAAATCCTTCCAGCAGAAACGTTTGGTGTCTCTGATCAGGCTTTGGAATCAAGTATAAAAAGCTCAAAATACTTGTATCCGTTCTTTTTGAAAGTGCAAGTTCTATGTATTTACCTACAGAATGTCCATTTAATTCAAGAGTGAAAATATGTAATCCAGTAAGACTAAGTGAGTTAAGCCCAGCTTCTACAGTTTTCCCTTCTGAAGTAATCTAAACTTATTATAGGCCATATTGAGTAATCAAGCTCCTTACTTGTACAATTGCAAACCCAACTGAGGCATATCGAGTGTATTGAAGAATTTTCTTCCGCCCAGCTTCACCTTCTCTTTTCTGAAGCTCTTGCAATTTTGGATAAATTTGTGTAAGAAGCTGGAAGACAATTGATGCATTGATGAAGGGAACAATGCCAAGGGAGCATATCCCTAGTCTGCCAATGCCTCCACCGGAAAATGAATCTAAAGTGCTCAATAAGCTGTTCTGATCCAAGTTCCCAACAAAAGCCTCTCGGTTCACTCCACCAAGAGGGATATAGATTCCAAGCCTTGATAGTGCTAAATAGCCCAAGAGCTGTAGAAATTTTCCTGGCAATGGACCTTTGAAGAAGTCCCCAATGTCAATGGAACTGTCCTCGATTGCAGCTGCAAGGTCAACTTAGTTTCAGTAATGCAAGACGAAAGATACATCAAAACTACAACATTGAAGGACAAGAAACAAACCTGCCAATCCACGTGCTGAGGGACCTTTATCTCGTTTTGTGCTTGAAGAACTGTCAAATGTTTGCCCCCAAAACCCAAGAAAACTTTCCCACCCACAACTTAATTCAGAAGAAAGATCTGGACGGATGCCCAAGGGATCAAAAACTGAGCTCTCAGAACTGAAAAAGAGAAACTATTATCCTGTCAATTATGGACCAACAACCATTATGGAAATTCTATAACAGAGTCATAAACAAAGATGACAGACTCACGCAACAGAATATATTGGTTTTAATTCATTCCCAAGGTTGAATGGACCTCCAAACCAATGTATAGCATTGCTGGATCCCACGTAGAAAATAAATCAATTGAAAAGTACATGCATTTCTTCATATTTTTTTATTAAAAAGGGATATATCACAAAATAAATGTTTATATAATATGGAGCATTATATTATTTAATTTGTTATGGTTCCATAAAATCAACGTATTATGAATTCATTGACACATATGTCTCTGAAGCTTGTTATGGTTCCATCTTCTTCTTCTATTTACTCTGTTAGACACTTGAAAATATGAAAGAATTGTCAAACCTACAATTCTTCTGCAATTCTTAGGTTAAAGGACATTGAAATCCAATTGAAATAACAGGACTCAAATGGGAAAAACCAGGATATGTGAGCAGCCCTTGGGGAGCCTATTTATGTACAGCTTTGGGTTTTAAACCAAGATACGTTTTTTTAATACTTGGTAACATGTAGACCAAACTTCAACCCATCCTTCCAAAGACATTCTCATCTAATTTAATTTTTCTACATTCCTAAGTACCGCAAAAGCATAATCTTGCTCAAGAAGCCTCGGCTAACAGTTCGGCCCAATTCTTCAGGGGAAACTCCTTCTCTAATGCCAGTGAAGCATGGAAAATTTAGAGAGCGCAAAAATATGTAACTGCACTACGCCATATGCTCTGGCAAAACAAAAGGTACAGAAAAACACCCAAAATTCTACAGGCAGAAGAAAAACCCATATGAGAAAAAATCTCAAAAGGCAAAACTGAAAGACTAGTTCGAGTAATTTAAGTGCAGTGAGCAGAAAAAGAACATAAATGCACGAGACCCACCTGTTGGAAGTGAGGCCAAGGTTCCAGGACTTGGTAGCGCGGGGCTTGTTAGGAACAGAGAAGGATGCTCGGGTGAATGAAAGTCTAGGCCTTGGAAAGCGCTTAGAATTGGTAAGATATTGGGTGGAGAGGGTGAAGCAAAGGGGCGAAGAAGAAGCTGCAGCAGCTTCTCTGACTGGTATCAACATTATTTACTCCCACCACAGTTTCGGTCTGTGAAAGGCTAACGTTGAGCGACGCTCGGTGGATTAGGCGTTTGCCTCATCGCCCTATCCATTTCTCTACTACCCCTTTTTGGATTTTGTAACCTTTCTTTGAGTTTGACCACAACTCAAAATGGTTTTATAATATGAAGTTGGAAATTTGTGGGATAGAAATCAATGTATTTGATATTTTAGATTTACACGTAAAAACTAACTATTAAAAAGAATTGAAAGTTTCCATTAAAAAAAAAAAAAAAAAAAAATCAAACATTATTTGGAGCAATTATATATTATTAAAAAGGCTTGTGTTGATCGATGTGTAGAAAAATGTCTGGATCATCAAATATCGAATTTGAGTTTCGAATCTTGGGCACAGGAAGTTACCGAAGCA